CAAAGAAAAGTCCAGGTCCGGATGGATTCACAGCTGAATTCTACAAGACATTTACAGAAGATGTAGTCCCTATACTCTTCAAACTCTTCCATGAAATTGAAAAGGAAGCAATCCTCCCAAAATCATTCCTGGAGGCAAGTAATATACTGATAGCAAAACAGAGAAAGACGCAACCAAGAAAGAGAACTACAAGCCAATCGCCCTCATGAACACAGATGCCAAAATCTTCAATAAAATGCTAGCAAATAGAATACAGCTAATCATGAAGATCATACACCATGACCAGGTAGGATTCATCCCAGGGATGCAAGGATGGTTCAGTATTCAAAAATCTATAAATGTAATACAATATATCAATAGAGTGAAAACTAAAATTCACATGACCATCTCCATTGATGCAAAAAAGCCTTTTGACAAAGTCCAACACTCATTCATGTTCAAAGTCCTACAGAAAATTGGAATAGATGGCCTCTACTTCAAACTGGTAAAAGCCATTTATGAAAACCCTACAGCCTACATAATCCTAAATTGGGAAAAACTGAAATCTTTTACTCTAAGATCTGGTACTAGACAAGGATGTCTCTATCACCACTCCTATTCAATACAGTTCTGGAATCATGAGCTACAACCATTAGACAAGAGAAAGAAATTAAAGGAATAAGAATAGGCAAAGAAGAAGCTAACTTATCTTTATTTGCAGATGATATGATACTTCACTTGGAAGACCCAAAAAACTCCACCAAGGAGCTACTAGAATTAATACACAAATTCAGTACCATAGCAGTTTATAAAGTCAATACCCAAAAGTCAAAAGCATTCCTCTTTCACAGAGAACAAACACACTGAGAGGGAGTTAATAGAAACAATACCTTTTTTAATAGCACCGAGGAAAATTAAACACCTTGGAATTAATCTAACTAAACAAGTCAAAGATCTTTTCAAGGAAAATTACAGTACTCTAAGAAAAAGTGATCGTAGAGGTTTTCAGAAAATGGAAAGCTATTCCATGCTGCTATATAGGAAGAACAAACATTGTGAAGATGCCCATACTCCCAAAATTGCTGTACAGATTTAATGCAATCCCTATTAGACTACCACCGACATACCTCACATACCTAGAGAAATTATTCCTAAAATTTATCTGGAACCAGAAAAGACTTAGATTAGTAAAAGCAATTCTTTGCAATAAAGATAAGGCAGGAGGCATTACAATTCCTGACTTGAAATTATACTACAAGGCTACTGTGATAAAATCAGCATGGTACAGGCAACAAAATAGGCCTGAAGATCAGTGGAACAGATTAGAAGATGCTGAAGCCCCTAAAAACACACTCAGTCACTTTATCTTTGACAAAGGGGCCAAATAAAATCACTGGAAGAAAGATAGCCTCTTTAACAAATTTTGCTGGACAAACTGGCTCTCTATGAGGCAAAAACTCAAACTTGACTCAGGTCTATCACCATGAATTAAACTATAGTCAAAATGGATTAAAGATCTAAACATTAAAGCAGAGACACTAAATCTCCTGGAAGAGAAAGTGGGAGAAACTCTTGAAGACATAAGGGTAGACAAAGAGTGCATGGACAGAAATAAAATTGCACGGGGAACAGTTGAAAGAATTAACAACTGGAACCTGCTCTTACTGAGAAGTTTTTTCAAGTCAAAAGAAATTACCAACAAAGTGAAAAGGCAACCCACAAATTTGGAAAAATCATGACAAATAAGTACTCAGACAAAGATCTGCTCTCTAGAATTTACAAAGAACTAAAAAACACTAGGGCCCCAAAATTTAAAGACCAATTCCAGAAATGGGCATCCGAGATAAACACACACTTCTCAGAGGAACAAATTAAAGAAGCGAATAAATATATGAAAAAATGCTCCACATCACTAGCTATCCATGAAATGCAAATTAAAACAATATTCAGATATCCTCTCACCCCAGAAAGAATGGCTATCATAAAAAAAATCACCCAAGAGACAGGAAAAGGAATATTGTGGGACTGTCCTGCTTCAAGGTTGTATATGGTGAGATTTTTGGACTTATGTGCAAACATGAGAAGCATAGAAT